CTCCTCGGCACAGGGTTGCTTTCGGCCACGGTGCTGCTGGGTGGACGGTCCCCGAGCCCTGGCGGCTCAGCTTCCTGCCGCTGCTTCTCCATTGTGTGCGAGGCGGGTGCTCCGGTCCCTCCAGCTCGCATCAGCTGTGAGCGTACTAAAAACTCAGTAACACCCGACAGCCTAACGCGCAGCTCCTGTTAACGGGGAATCTCCGGGCGGTGAGTCCCGGCCTCGCCCTGCTCTCGTGGCCTCTCCCTGGTGGACGCAAGTGGCCCAGCCCGACGCCCGCACAGGGGCGGGAATTGGACCCACGCAGCTGTGCCCAGACCCCACGGCAGAACCTGCCACTCAGGAGAAGCTGGGCCCCGGCCGCCCATCTGCAGGGGAGCTGGGCATGGGGGCCGGGACGCTGCCCACCCTCAGATCTCCTTCCCGGCCCTGCGGGCACCGGCTCTTCCTCGGTGGCCTCTCTGCAGCCGTCCCACCTGCAGCGCTCAGAGCAGAGCCGCCCCTGGCTGAGGGCCGTGGGGACGGGGAGCCAAGGGCTGCACACAATCTCCGTCTCAGGTGCTGCTGCGGAGCCCGGCCTGAGATGGAGGGGAGCAAGGGAGGCACAGGGGGCCGGGTGGGCCATGCTCCATCGTCCAGGTGGACATGTGCGACACCGGTGTGGCAGCCAGGACGGGGAGGACATTCCCTGGGTGACCTGCAGCATCTGCCTGCAGTTCAGTAATGGAAACAGGAAAGAGCAGGGAAGCAGTCTTCCCACTGGGCAGCCGAGCCGGTGTAAAGCGGCACAGCCACTTTGGAAACAAGGCCGGCCCTCAGAGTCCCTCACAGAAGGACCAGAGGGCCCAGCCCTGCGCCTAGGTGGAGAAGGGGAAACGGGGCCCACACAAACAGAAGCGTTGTTCAAGACCGCAGAACGTGGAAGCCACACAGCCTGCCAACCGGATGTCACACGGTAAAGCAGGTGGGGCACAGCCACCCCGCAAAATATTACTCTGCCGTGAAGAGGATGAAGTGTGCAGGTGCACGCGGACAGACCCTGAAAACTTGCACCGCAGGAGCAGCCAGGCACCGAGGGCCACGTGCCGCGTGACTCCTCCTACAGGAAGTGTCCAGGGCAGGGAAATCCATGAGCCAGAGAGCAGATCAGTGGCTGCCCCAGGCTGCAGGGGTCTGGGCTGGCCCACAGGGTGGCAGCTGGCGGGTGGAGACAATGGACACTGACTGTGACGATGGCTGCACAACTGTGCAACTGCGCTGCGGACCGAACTGCACACTTCGGGTGCGCGGTGGTGTCGGTGGATTCTCCCTCACGTGGCCGGGAGCGGGGGGGGGGGGGCAGCCTCCGTTCACCTCTCCGAGCCCTGGCAGCAACCGGACAGCCACGCTTTTGGTTTCTCTTTTATTCACATCTATCCCCAGCGTGTTGTGCTCTGGAGGAACCTGCTGGAGGGGATCAAGCGACACAAATGACTGCAGAAGTGAGGAAGCCGAGGTGTCCAGTTCATCAGCAGCATCGGCGCTGCTGCCCCAGACTGAGGCCGTCGCTGGCTCTTTACCGTGACCTGATTTGTCACCCACTGCTCTTCCTCAGGTCCCAGTCCGCAGGTCGCTCCTCCTGGCCCCTCCTGTAGCCAAGGCAACAGAGTAGCAGTCCATTCACACCTGCTTGGGGCAGGGAGCTGTCCCGGGTGCAGACGCCTGGGCAGAGTGGGCGCCCCCAGATTCGGCCCAGAAACATCCGCTGACGCCAGCACAGAGGGGGAGGATGACAGGCTCGGGAGCCCCCGGGAGGTCCCTTTGAGGGCCCCTGCCTGCTGCTGCCTGCGAAAGGGAGGCCAGGCAGGGGTGCGTCCTGTTTGCACTTGGGCACTGAGCACAGCCAGGCTGAGCCGCACTGTTCAAACAGACTGGGCGGGGCCTGGGCGCAGCCTGGGGGCACCAGGCACAGCCCCCGCCTCTCCCGGCAGCCGGCCCATGGCCCAGCCCTGTCGCCATCGTGCCATGCCCCATGCCAGGCTCTCCAGCTGCTGGGGCAGCCGGGTGCTGCTCCTGCTGCTGATCTACGTCTGCTACCTGCTGCTCGGGGCCACCATCTTCCAGCTGCTGGAGAAGCCGGCAGAGGCCGAATCCAGGGACCAGTTTCAGATGGAGAAGCTGCGCTTCCTGGAGAACTACACGTGCCTGGACCGGTGGGCCCTGGAGCAGTTTGTACAGGTGAGAGGAGGAGCAGGCGGGCAGCCAGGATGGGGTGTGGTGACTTGGGAGCCAGGAGCGCTGGGCAGGTACAGAGCTGGGACTCAGGAGCTGAGGACCTGCAGGAGCAGAGTGTGGGGGGGACCAAGCCTGGTGACACCCAGTCGTGGATCCTGCCCAGGTCTGCAGCTGGGTCACTGCGGGCCTTGAGTAAGTCCCTGAGCCTGTGGACCAGGTGTCCCTTCTGGGAGGTGGCAGCTGCAGGCATCTGGCAGCAGGTTAAAGGTGCTCCGTGCAGTCACAGGTGGCACAGACACGGCTCGGTGTCCACACTGGCACCGCTGTCCACATTTCCTCCCCCACAGCCATACTTCCCCACCCCAGCTCCAGGCTTCGGCCCCTCCTGCCTGTGTGTGGCCCTGGGTGGGGACACAGGTGAAAGTCAGGAGCAGCTATCATGATGGCTTCACTCCCCTGGAGCTGGGCTGCGGGCAGTGGCCCGGGTGACCAACTGCTGTCACTGTGCCCATGGTGGGCTCTCCTGATGCCAGGGCTCCTTCTGCCTCCCTCCCTTGCAGAAACAAGCAGGTGTGGGGAAGGTGTCTGCACTGAGACGGGGGAGGGGGCACGAGTGACAACACCCACTGCAAAGGGACAGAACAAGCTCAGGAGCCCATAACGATGATCGGTGTGAGCTGAACACTTACAATGTGCCCAGGGCAGTGAGGAACAAGACTAGAGCATCAGAGCCTTCACCTGGGCTGAGCATCTTACAGGTGCTGTCACCTGTTCCTGTCACCTTCCCCAGCCTGCAGGTGGGAACTGAGGCACAGGAGGTGGAGAGTTAGTCAGGGCTGCAGGTCTCTAGCAGAGACTGAATCGCATCAGCTGTGGCTGCGGAGGCCTTGCTGGACACCACACCAATTAGCATGCGAGCTGGGGCCAGGAAATGGCCAGCCACAGCGCGACCCTGAGCCGGCAGCTGCACCGGGCTGGTTAGAGAGCAGCTGTCGCCCCCAGCCACATGGCCAGGAACTGCAGACATCTGCGCGGGCCACTTGGAGGAAGGGCAGCGCTAAGTGAGCGGGGAGAAAGCAGCGTCTGCCCAGCACAGAACTAGGGCGCCTGCCCTCTTCCCACCCTCTCCGCTCAGGGAAGAAGGGACCATGCACCTGCAGCCACCCGCCCCACCGGGCCAGAGGAACTCAAGACAGCAAGAGTTCAGTTCTAGTAACTCACTCACCACACATGAACACACACACCACGCAATCCGCAGCGCGTGGCTCCAGGAGCACAACACACCCCACGCAGGTGTGCAAGCACTCGCACAGGATTTCTCCGTAAGCCGCACTGGGCTCACCAATGGGCCGCTAAGGGTGTGGCAGCCCCTCCCGTGCAGGCCCCCCACCTCAGCACACTCGAGGACAGCCCCGGGCTTCCTGTGGTCCCCAGGCCCCAGTAAACTAGGTCGTCAGGACATCCAACCTGAGATGTCACCCAGCCTGAATCTGCTCCTTATCCTGACACCCACGTGCGTGTCATCCCCTAGCGCCCGCCGGGCCTCCCCCGACCCCTCCTAGATCGCCCACCGAGCCCCTTGGAGCCAATGCCCTTGGGCGAGTGAATCCCTTGGCCACCCTGGGCCGTGGGCTCCCAGCCATGTGGCAGGAGGACGCTGTCTGAAGCCTGGCTGGGTGCACAGCGGTGATCACAGCCGAGAGCCAGCTCAGCTGCTGCTCAGTGACGGTTGCCACCCCACAGGTCATCTTGGAAGCCTGGGTGAAAGGTGTGAACCCCAAAGGCAACTCCACCAACCCCAGCAACTGGGACTTCGGCAGCAGCTTCTTCTTCTCGAGCACGGTCATCACCACCATAGGTGAAAGGCTGCGTCCTAGTCGAGCTCCCGGGAACAGATGCTGGGATGGGATGGGATGGGTGCATCGGGGAACAGGCGGGGGAGACAGGCCAGGCGCAGAAGCAGTGGGCTGCATACCCTTGGGGGTCACCTCTGGGGACCTGCAGAGCCCAGCTGGGGGGAGGGCGTGGCCTCCAGGTCTGCAGCGCGGCCTGGCTGAGTGCTGTACCACAGCACTGCCTCTCGGTGTCCTGGACCCTCGGGGACAGAGATGGGTCTTGCAGATGGGCCTTTGTGAGGGGCTGTCCCCAAAGCTCAGGTGGCATCCCGGGTGCCCAAGGGGACCCAGCACCAGCAGCATCTGCTGCACCCCTCAGCCAGAAAACCCACTCTGTGCCCCTCAGGAAGCCCCCAGACCCTCCATAACCCGGGCCCCCTGCACCAGTGACGTCCACCGCACACACCTTCCTCACACCCCAGGCGGCCTGGTGAGGGGAGGGGTGCAGACCCCCAGGCTTGGGCCTCAGCCTCAGTCCAATAAAGGGGGCTCAGGAGGTGGATAATTAGACTGGGATGGCACAGGGCCCTGCAGGAGGGGAAGGAGACATCAGGAGGGCTTCATGGAGACAGCGTGAGGGGCCTCCAAAGAGAGCAGGATTTCTGTAATAAAGATCACGAGCAGGGGCGGGTGAGTGCTCACAGGGAAAGCGGAGCGTCCCCTCTGGCCCCTTGAGGGTGGACACAAACCTCTGTCAGAGTCTGAGGGGTGGGGGTCTGAACTTTCTTACCCCTCACAGGTTACGGGAACCTGGCGCCCAGCACCGAGGCAGGCCAGGTCTTCTGTGTCTTCTTCGCCATGGTGGGCATCCCGCTCAACGTGGTCTTCCTCAACCACCTGGGCACAGGGCTGCGCGCCCACCTGGCCACCCTGGAGAGGTGGGAGGAGCAGCCCCGATGCTCCCAGGTAGGGCGCTCCGGCCCCTACAGCCCCGATCAGTGGCAGGGGAGAGGTCAGCTTGGGTTGCAGGGTGGAAGGGGAGACAGCCACAGAGAGAAGAGGCAGTAGTGGGCCTGGGCAGGGGCGAAGCTGGGTCTCAGCTTCTGGGAGAAGCTGCAGCTCTGCCACAAAGGTGGCCATCGGAGCTGACTGCCACGGCCCAGGGGCCAGACTTCCGTACCTGAGCAGGCACCCGGTCCAGCCTTCCCGGGAAGCGGGTGCCATGTGCTGGGGGTTCTGCAGCTGAAGGCCTGCTGACCGCGGGCCTGCAGTCCTGGGCTGGGGAAGCTGGACCTGTGTCTCTGTGGTTATCACAGAGCCCCAGCATCCTTTCATATGGTCGGAAAGGGCCCTGGCCCACCCAGCCTGGCCCTGCCCCTGGAGGACAGAGGTGTAGGGGGCACCTGGGACAGTTCAGTGACTTCCTGCCTAGATCTGAGTCGCTGGGAGTCTGTTCCAGCGTGAGCCTCGAGGGGGCTTCAGCTCCCTCCTGCCCCACTGACAACCTCTGCCTGACGCCGTCTCCCTGGCAGGCCGGTCACACAGGTGTGGATGCGGCCCCACCCCAAGGTCCGCAGGGCAGGCACCTAGTCTTCCAGATGGGCTCAGGGCTGCCTCCCTCCCAGCTCCTGCAGGTCCTGGGCCTGGGCCTGACCCTGACCCTGGGGACCCTGGCCTTCCTCATCGCCCCGCCCATGGCCTTCAGCTACGTGGAGGGCTGGCGCCTCAACGAGGGCTTCTACTTCGCCTTCATCACTCTCAGCACCATCGGCTTCGGGGACTACGTTGTGGGTGAGGGGGAGACTGGCACGGATCACGGGTGGGGGACCCGCTGGGATTCGGGGGTGGAGGAGAGCGGCCGAGGAAGTGTCCCTGACAGTGGCTCTCAGTGACCTGCTCAGGAGTCTCTGGTCTGGGCCGTGGCCGTTCTCCAGGGACCTTGCTGGGCCTGGACAACGGAGCCCCTGCAGAACCTGGGGGTGGCTGTGCCCTGACACCTGCTGTCCCTCCTGTGGCAGGCAGGGACCCCAGCAAGCGCTACATCGCGGTGTACCGGAGCCTGGCTGCCCTCTGGATCCTCCTCGGCCTGGCGTGGCTGGCGCTGCTCCTCTCCCTGGGCCCCTTGCTTCTGCGCAGGTGCTTGCGGCTCTGGCTGCTGCTCAGGGGCTACGGCCTCAAGGATGGGCCAGCCCCTGACCCGGAAAGGCTCCCCCGGCCTCAGAAGAGCCCCATCTCTGCATGAGGCCCCCACGGACCCAGCAGTCCCCAGCCTCCCCAGCCCGGCCTCTGCCCTTGGAGTTTCCTGCCCTGCCCTGCCGACTCCCTCTTCTCTGCGGCCCAGCTCCCGGGAGCTCCACAGAGAGAAAGGGGGCGTCCGGGAGGAGGAGGCCCAGGGTCAGGTGGGTGTGGACTGGACGCGCACCCTGGACCCGAGCCCCTGCCCCAGAGGTGACCTGGGAAAGCCCCTGACTGGATCCCTGTGGCCAGAGCTGTGTGTCTTCCACTGCCCCCTGACAGCGCAGACAAAGGGCACCATCTCTGTGTCACTGGAGAGGTGCATAGTCCACTGAGCCCCACCGTGTGCAGGTCTGGGGCTCAGCAGGGAGCGTCCTGCCCTCGCTGAGCCTCTGGCCTCACAGGTGGAGGAGCAGAGAGGCGGCCCCCGCACAGCGCCCAGAAGCCTCCATGGGTGTGATGGGGGGGGGTGACAGCACCTGGGGATGAAGCAGAGGCGGGGCAGCCCCTGGGGAGGCTCGGTGCCCACAGGAAGCTGCCCTGTCCCCGAGCAAGGCTCGGGACCTCCATGGTGTCCCCACTTTGCTGGACATAACCTCCCGTGACCCCCAGGCACCCCTTGACCTCATCAGTTCTTAAAGCCCTTCCATGCACCCTGAGAAGCCAAGGCCAGCAGACACCAGGAGCCCAGGAAATGAGCCCTGGACCCGGCCTCCCAAGGGAACTCATCCTCCAAGCCCGGCCTCCTCCTGCCGGTCTGCAGCATCTCGGCCAGACCGAGGAGAGGTCTGCACAGTGCCGCCCGGACTCCATGCGGTGCCCAGGCTCACCAGGGCTACGAATACCCACCACCAGCAAGCGGCCCCTCATCACCAGCCTCTGCCCAGCCCTGCACCGCCGGTGGCACGGGGGTTGCTCTGGGAAGTCGGCCAGAGAGGGGCTCCCAGCGCACCCGGGACCTGTGGACACCCCGAGAGCCTGGGAAGCTGAAGAGCCCTGGCCCCTACACCCTGGACCTTCCTGGGTTCAGGGAGGAGAAGGGTCTCCGGGGCTTCCCTGGTCGCGGTTCCCTTGCAGCCGGTGGTGAGGCTGGGTCCCTCTCCTCTGAGTGCTGCTCAGTGGCTCCTCCTCTGCTACCCTGAGTTGGGGTGCACACTCCTCTGAGGGGCGGATCCCCACCCACGGCTCAGGCCTCTTTCTGTCCCTGGGGTTGAGTCCCGCGGTGGGCAGGGCGGTCCCCTCCCCAGCACCTTCCCCATGGTGACCCTGGCCATCCTGCGGCCGATGGCAGGCCCGGGGCTGGGGACAGCACCCGCTGCTCCCTGGCTGTGCGCCTGGCACTGGGTCCCATGTGTTCTGTGCTTGAGGGCCATGCCACAGGCTATACCTGTCCTCTTCCAAGACAGCCCGGCGCAAACGTCACTGAGAGGGACCTTGCGCTGAGGTCCAGCAGGACTGAGGGCACACAGGACCCCCAGAACTCAGGAGAGGGTCCCAGAGCGCAGTGGGACTCAGCCAAGGTGCTGGTCCGGGGCAGCAGGGAGGAGGCTGAAGTGGGCACCCGGACTGGAGTTGGGGGGCAAACGCAGGGCTGAGTCCACTTTACCCCAAGTCTTTGGACACCAGGGGCCGAGCACACAGCCTGAGCTGAGGATGCTGGGAAGCACGTGTGAGTGAAGAACAGGTCAGCGAAGCCCCAAACAACTGCAGCTTGGTTCTTGTGCCCCCTGAAGGCGCTCGGAGCGCTCACCCTCTTCACCTAGGGAGAAACACGGCCAGGGTGGGCGGAAGCAGCTACCTCAACAGAATCTGCCTAAAACGTCCCAAGGCAGATGCAGGAGCCGCTTCTGCCCGAGGAAAGAGAAAGAGGTCATAGCTGCAGGTGGTGGGCTGACTTGAAAGCCTGGGAGAAAGTCTAGGGAACCAGGCGCCCTGCTCTCTGTAGCGCTCCCACACACTCGTGAGCATCTACGAGGTCAAGCACATAATTAATGGGTAAGCAATTTTTGGTATACGAATGCAACAGGGTTGGTCTTTAAAAGAATAAATACTAATAAATGTTACAAGGTGGATGAATCTTGCAGTCATGCTAAGTGAAAAGATTCAGTCACAGAAGGTGTTTATTGTATGACTCCACTCCTAGAAATGTCCAAAGAGGCAAATGCAATAGAAAAGCCAATGAGAGGTTTACCAGAGGCAGAAGGGAGGGCAAATTGGGAATGATTGCTTGATGTGCAAAAGGCTTTGATTTGGGGGGAATAAAAATGTTCTTGAGATAGTCATAATGGTTGCATAATTTGTGACTATAAAAAAAATTCTGAATTGTACATTTCAAAAAACAAGACTATCTTATATGAATTGTACATCAACTTTTAAGAGCTGTAAGGCTCAAATACACTGGCACAGCTGAACTTTTGAGGACGCAATGGCCTTCAAGACAAACTCCTCTTCTCATTGGTCAAGGGAAGTCTCATCTGCTCAGCAGCCCTCTCCCATTGGCTGTACCCCTGCCACACTCAGGACAAAGTTTCCCAGGCACTGTAGCAGGGGCAAACGGGAACATATTTTTTTTTGTTTTGTTTTGCAAACCTTCCAGTTAGGGGCGCGGGCCCCACAAACCAACCAGGACACCAGGGGCCAAGCGCACAGCCTGAGCCGAGGACAAAAGGGGTACTTCTCTTCCCATCTCTCCCATTTGGGCACTTCTGCCCCAGGACAGAGCCCTGGCTGTGAGAGAGGTCAGTGGTCGGCACTGGAGGGTCTGGTTTGCAGCTCTCAGCTTGGGTCCTTTCCTGGTAACCGTGGGTCGCAGGTGTCCCTGGCCCAGCAACCCCGAGGTGCTGCCCAGCCTGCACTCGGCTGTCTCCTTGTGGAGGCCCCCAGCGCGCCAGGTCCTGGGAGCCCCTGACTCACGCCCGCACACCCACGGCCACCGCCCCACCCCCAGCATCTCCTAAGGCAGTTGCCCTCTTAAACTGTGGAAAGTTCTGGAAGCCCAGGGTGGGTGGGGCAGGGCTGGAGCAGGGCCTCTGATTGGTTGTGGGGTGGGCGTGGCCGGGCACGCGGCCGCAGTGGGCGTGGCCAAACGGCCGAAGCTGGCTGGCGGTTATTCTCCGGTCATTCTTTCCACTGGGCCTCACAGAGGAGCAGTGTCTGCGGGGCGCGGGGCCGTGGGGCGACCTAGAATCCCTGGCTACCTTGGTGAGGGCACCCAGGACGCCTGTGGAGCAGCGGCCCCGTCCGAGCTCGCAGGACTCTGCTCTCCCTTTGTCTGCTGTCTGCTCTGTCGAGCGGTGTCCACGAGACAAGGTGGGACAAGGACCGCCGGGTCCCCTCCCTGCCTGGGCAGACGCGGAACCGCGGCCCCGACTCATTCCGCCCTTTCTGCCCCGCAGCCGCCGCCCGTGATCACCGTGGTGGTACCGCGCAGGGAGGAGGC